TCCCCCCCTCTTCCGACCCGATAACTCTATAGCCAACTCTCCCCCTGACAAAGCCAACCTCTTTGGCACCTTATTCTCCTCTAATTCCACCTTAGACTATTCCCACTCTATCCCTCCTACCCCTGCACCTCTGACTGAACCTATGCACTTTCCTATAATCTCCACTCGCACGGTTGCCGGTGTGTTATCCAGGTTGGATGTAAGGCGCATGGACCGGACGGAATACCCCCTCATGTTCTAAGGGAGTGTGCTGAAGCCCTGGCCCCTGTGTTTGCTCACCTCTTTCGCCTCTGCCTCAAAACCCAAACTTTTCCTTCTTCTTGGAAGCATGCCTTGGTTCAGCCCATCCCGAAGGGTGACCCTTCTAATCCCTCTTACTATCGCCCCATTGCCCTAACTTCATCCCTCTCTAAGATTTTCGAAACTATCTTGAACTCCCATTTCTCCATCACCTTGAACGCCATTCTCTTTTGTCGGATCACCAGTATGATTTCGCCAGGCGAGATCTACTGGTGATCTGCTCTCCTATTGCACCCATCTCTGGTCATCCTCTTAGGGATTATGGGGAAACTTTCGTTGTGCCTCGACATCTCAAAGCATTTGACAGGGTATAGCACAAGTGTTTGCAATCAAACTTCCTCTTTTTGGTTTCTCTCCCCCACTTTGTTTTCTATCTCTAGCTTCCTTGAGAACCGATCCGTGGCAGTTGTTGTCGAGAGATCGATCTCGTTCTTTCTCTACCAGTAGTAGTGTCCCACAGGGTTCTGTTCTTTCACCTACTCTCTTCCTTCTTTTTACCAATGATTTACTTCACACTACAACTAATTCTATCCATTCTTACGCTGATGATTCTACTCTTCACTCTTCACATTTTCCCCTTCCTCCTAACTCTCAAACTAGATCTGTTTCTAGAACTGATATTACTTCTATCAATGCGGATCTGTGCAGCATCTCTGAATGGGGAGGTACAAACTTGGTTTAGTTCAATAGTAATAAAACTCAATATTTACCCATTACACTTTGTAAATTAGACGATCTCCCACCAATTATATTTGAGGACGCTATCATCCTGCCAAATTCTGAAATAAATATGTTAGGCCTCACCATTCCTTCCAATATGTCCTGGAAATCACACATCCTTAATATAGCTAAAGCTGCCTCCCGAAAGTTGGGAATGCTGTACAGATGCCGTAGCTACTTCACTCTTGAGCAGTTGCTCCAAGTATATAAGGGAAATTGTCATGGTTTTGGTTTCGTGGTGGTGTAAGAGTGGATTAAATTATATAAAGATTATAATATGTTGTGTTTCTTATTTCTTACCGTAGAATTCGATACCTTCACACTGGTTACTTACAAGAGATTATGGCGTATCTACGTAGAAGTTCACTCCACCACTCGACATTCCATGATTTATACTTGATAAATGATGATTTAATGAATTCCATTAATTTCCAACATCCATCTAAGTTATTGGTTATACTTTGTCATAACCAATCAGTCATTACCTTTAGTAATAATAAGATGGGATCACAGATACGGGCAGATAATTGCACTTACATTTATTTGTCAAGCTTCCATACAATGATTTAAAATTTGCATGGATATATGAGTCACTCACGTTCACGCTGTAATAAATTAATCTTCTAAAAGAGGGAATTTTCAACTTGGGACACATGTGATTACTCTACTGTGGGTATGACTTAACAGAGCCTTAATTCTTCAAGTGATACATTTACTGCCAGCCTGGATTGCTTTTGTTGCAACCAGGCTTCATCACAAGAACTTCTTTCACGGGGAATAACAACAAAAAGTACTCTTGGGCCACTACGTCTCGCGTCACTGACAGTCACTGTAGATGGTTGTCACGGCAAGGAGAACTAAGCGTGACTTGAATTAACCATTTAGGTGCAATAGGCCAGCCTGGATTGCTCTTGTTGCAACCAGGCATCCACACGTGATATTTCCACGGGGATAACAACCTAGGTTAACACACTGAAGTCTCGTGTCGACGACGGTCCACAGGACGGAGTGGCGGTGGAGGAATCTGTGTGGTGTGGTGTCCCGCCCCTTCAGGAGGGAGAGGATGGGGACGACGTCTTAACTAACCCATGGCCGTCGGGATACTACGTAAAATGAGGTTTTTGGGTGTGAGGCAATGAACAGTACAACACTGTCTCACTGCCACCCCTAAAGGCTGGCTAACATACCACTAATGGAAAATATATGTCCCAGTTATGCCTCGCCGGGTGCCTTATCTCTAGTAAAACAAACTTTGGAGTTGGTTGTGTGGGTAAGCCTAACGCCGCCCATGACAAAGGGATTCATTCGTCCTAATTTGGAGTACTGCTCTCATATCTGGGGTGGCTCTTCTTCTGTCCAACTATTAGATAGGGTGGAATCAAAGGCATTTCGTCTTATTAACTCTCCTCCTTTAGTCGACAATCTCTCTTCCCTTTCTCTTCGCCCAATGTTGCTTCACTCTCTCTTTTACAGGTACTTTAATGGGCAATGTTCGGTGGATTTGGCATCCGTGTACCTGCGGCAAGGCCGGGGCTGTAACACACGTCTTGCCCACGGTGCCCACCGTTTCTCTGTGGGCACGAGAATAACAATTTTAAAATTCGAGAATATTAACACCTGCTGCTATGCCCGTATATGTTTACAAATCTGTCAATCACTTGATTGGCAATAGTTATTTAAAGTTCCGGAATAATCAGATACAACTTAAGACACCTAGAACTACTAAGACCATCTCCCCATATGCTCTAGTTCCAGACCTCCATAAAATATCATGGTGTGAGGGCAAACTTTTTCTGGGTGAGAGTTGTGGACTCTTGGAACAACCTGCCAGAGAGTGGAGTGACGGCACAGAGTGTGAGCTGTTTCAAGACCAGGTTCAGATACATCCAGGAGCCGGTGCATGCCCAGTACTTGCCAACAGTGCTTAACAGAGACGTGACGGATCGCCCAAGCGGCTAACGAGCCGATCAGTGGTAAAGAGGTTAAAAGTAAATGTAACTTACCCCCACCCATCCAAGCAAAGACTTGTAGTGGATTCCTCCCCTACAAGCACCGAACCTTCTCGAATTCCCCAGTCTACGCCTCCAGCGCCGCCCAAAGAGCGGGGGTCAACTATCTACCCACGCCTACCCCCGCCTTATAAGGCCTGACACCGCTGTGACCACCTCTTTTTCCACCCAGTGCCACCAGCAAGCAACATCCCTCCTCCGCGCCAGCCTGGCGGCTCCCTGCCCAGCCGGAGACCTAGGGCGTCCCTCAAGCCGCGTGCCCTCACTCTGGGCACCCTCACCACCCAGCCTCTACTCAACGCTTATTACCATGCTACCTACCCAGCAACAAGCTGCATTGTACATCCAATACAATATGTATACAGTGAGCACATTGTCAGTTTCCTTTCTCCATCCCATCCTGAGTGTGAACCAATAACCCATAACCCTACAAATGGTGAACCCCGGAGATCTGCACTCACACAGGATGGAGGAGAAACTGATCACTCTCCCAGTCTTCAAGCAACATGGAAGACTGGCTTACCCACGCAGAGGCAGCTCTCATCGGCTCTACAACTACTGTCTCTACACTCTAAGCAGACAGCTGCTCCTCTTCCTGCCCCAAGCACCACGTCCTACCGACCCCAACACACCTGTCCTGCCTCAGACGCCGCCCCCGGCCAAGCAGTACCCCCCACCGCTCCTCCTGACGCGGCCCCTGCCCGGCGCGGACCCACACACCCTTCTTATCTCCCTCAGGTACCCCCTGCTACTGTCCTGCACCCTGCTGCTGTCGTGGACCCTGCTGCTGTCATGCACCCTGCTGCTGTCATGGACACTCTTCCTAACGCAGCCCCTGCTCCTAACCCAGGCCCACACACCCCAGCAGGCGCATCTGAGGACTCTGTACCTGTCGCGAGGAAAGCACAACATTCATCGCCTCCACAACCCTCCTTCTCCCTCTTTTCTCCCACAGATCTCGTGTATAGACAGAGTTCCCCCTAGCGGCCGGCTCATCCACGCCTCGCCGTTATGTCCCACATGTGGCATGCACCGCCCGTTCTGCCACATGTGGCACGCAACTCTGCCAACCTCCAGCCTCCCGCCTCGCCTGGAGGGGAAGGGGAGTATTGTAGTGGATTCCTCCCCTACAAGCACCGAACCTTCTCGAATTCCACAGTCTACGCCTCCAGCGCCGCCCACGGAGTGGGGGTCAACTATCTACCTACGCCTACCCCCGCCTTATAAGGCCTGACACCACTGTGACCACCCTCTTTCTACCCAGTGCCCACCAGCAACACCTCCTCTGCGCCAGCCTGGCGGCTCCCGCTCCCGCCGGCGACCTCGGTGTCCCTCAAACCGCGTGCTCCTCTGGGCACCCTCACCAACCAGCCTTCTCCTACTCAACGCTTGTTACCATGCTGCCTACCCAACAACAAGCTGCATTGTACATCCAATACAATATGTATACAGTGAGCACATTGTGAGTTTCCTTTCTCCATCCCATCCTGAGTGTGAACCAATATCTCATGACTCCACAACCTCTCATCCACTTTATCTTTGGAAAATATATTAATTTTATTTTATTTTAGTGGTAGTGGCCTGGTGGGCCTTGAGGCCTCCCAGGGTAACATAGCTTAGGGCCTCAACGTGGCTTAATCCAGCCCTGCAGATACTTCAAAACTATAAATTCCAATTTCAGATTTGCACCGCGAGGGAGCAAGAGCGTTGACAATCCCCAACAGAGAAGCATGCGGAGTGGTTGGTATGCCTGTGTTGTGAGACTGGTCACGTGATTGGTTTGATGCCCACAAGGTCATTGCATCCTTTAACCTTCGTTAAATATCGCACAATTTTTAACAATCTGCCAATCTGTAATATAATTCTTATTTCTGAGTTATAATTAACTGCGCTAGAAAATAACTGTTGGAAAAGATGAGATATGATGATTATACCACAACAAGGAATTTGAGTCGCGACAACTGACAACAATTTCCACCCTGTACCCCAGCCGCCCGACGCGTCACGGCCAGTGTTGTGTCAGCCTCAAGACGGTAAACTGTTAACTTTGCAGTCTCCACTATGACAGGTAAGTACAAGCTTAGATGTCTGAAATATTACTACACATTATGATATTCTTGACATTATACATAATATGCTTAACTTATTTTAGTGATATTAAGTAATTGTCAACATCGTAGATATATACTGTAGAAATTATGTCGTACAAGTTCCTCGTTAATTCAGAATGTCCAGTACTTTGTAGATAAGTAGGCGAAGTTTAAAGATATAATTAATAAATTTGAAAATAATAAGTTGATTCAACCAAAGGTTGTTTAAACAAGCCGTTTAAAGTCTTAATTTCAACTGGAGTCCTAAACTGGGTTGTCAGCGTGATTTAGTGAATGAAAGTGTTATTTGTTCAAGCATAGAGATATTTTACTCTATATTTAAGTCTTTTTTCATTAAGTTAATTATAACATTAGATTCGTCAAATTAATGACAATGTTAAAGGTCATTCCCTCGTTTTCCTTCATTATCGACAGCACAGTCATTACCCCGTCCCGTAACCCAAACCCTCACATGTCAGAACCTTGTCACTTATAACTGTACCCCTTAACTGTGTCATAACCTTGTACCCATTAACTGTCATAACCTTGTACCCCTTAACTGTCATAACCTTGTACCCCTTAACTGTGTCATAACTTTACCCCTTAACTGTCATAACTCTTTACCCCTAAACTGTCATAACTAGAGCTCGGATGTTTAGGCAAAATGCCATAAAATTCCTTTTTTGCCGGGTCCGACTAATTACCCAAATGTAGCCGGAATGAAGTCAAATAATGGTCCTACATGAATAAATCGGACTGCCAATCACTTCTCGACTAGTATTTGGTGTCACAAAGTTACAAAAAATTGGTAAACTTAATTTAATCTGAGTTAATAGATCGAATGCATATACCTAACCTAACACAACTCAAATTAAATTAAGTTTACCAATTTTTTGTGACTTTGACACCAAATAATAATCGAGAAATGATTCACAGCCCGATTTACGCTTGTAGGACCATCATTTGACTTCATTGCGGCTACATTTGGGTAATTACTCGCTCCCTCGGTACAAGCACGCAATCTATTAACTCAGTTTAAATTAAGTTTTCCAATTTTTTGTGACTGACACCAAATACTAGTCGAGAAGTGGTTGGCAGTCCGATTTATTCATGTAGGACCATTATTTGACTTAATTGCGGCTACATTTGGGTACATTTGGGTAATTAGTCGGACCGTCCAGCCGCAAGTCTACCTTTTCATTAGATCTGTGTAAAGCCTTTGTTGATGCTGGTATTCCGTTGTGGAAGCTGGAGAACAAGTCTTTGAAGTTATTCTTGGAAAAATACACAAAACAGCAAATCCCGAGCGAGTCTACTTTAAGGAAGAATTGTGGACTCAAACTATGAATCCGCAGACCGTGGTATGTTTTAAATATGCTCCTGTGACGTCGGTGGAGGTAGAGAGATCATTCTCGCTCTTCAAGCATCTTCTGATCCGATGGGATGAAGAGAAGAGAGCCTATTGGCTCAGGAAGATGGAAGACGGTGTAGGAGGAAGGTAAAGGTTGGGAAGTGGGAAATAAAGAGGGAGATTGATAGCAGGTGGGCTGTCTTCCTTGCGAGGACGAGGTTAAATCTGCCATGTCAGCAGTTCGGGTCCACTACAGCAAGGGAAGGGAAGGAAAGCCAAGCTAATCTAAGCTAAGGTAGATTGTGGTGTTTGGGGAGGGGGGGCCCTCCGTGTCCTTTAAGTATTCTTCGTTTTTATTTCGTGTATATTGGTTCTGGTTCTGTGTTGTCATATGTTATGCTCTTTGGCCACCAGTTGTGTGTTCTGGCAATGTCTTCTTGCATTAATTGTTGGAATATGGGGTCTTCTAGTTCTTGTAGTTTTTCCCATATTGCTAATGCTTGATTATGTGTTCTGATGTTGATTGTGGTTAGGTTATGTTCTGTGTGTAGCTCCCTGGAATTTTTTGTATAGGGTGGTCTGAGTTTTGCTGCTCTTCTGAGGGCTATGTTTTGGATTGCTTGTATTTTGAGCTAATTTGATTTTGATATAGTGTTAAGTGGAATTAGGGGATATTCCAGGTGTTGTCTGACAAATGCTTTGTAAAGGTGTAGTTGTATATTGGTGTTTAATTTGCAGAATCTTCTGAGTTTAGTTAGTTGGACCCTGGCTTTTGCAATTCTTTCTGTGATATGTGGTAGTATGCCGTTCCTTGTGATTTTGAGGCCGAGGATTTTCCCATTTTCTGCGTATGGAATGTTTTGATTGTTGACCATGTTTGGGTATGGTCTGGTTTTAGCTATGTGAATTATCTTCAGTTTTTGTATGTTATTTTTAATTTTCCATTTCCTTTCGTAATTGTTTATGGTTTCTATTTCTCGGCTAGTTCTGATTGCCATCATTTGTTTGGATTTCCCTGGGTATTGTATAATTTGTGTTACGTCGTCTGCGTATGCAATGTACTCTGAGTTTCTTGGTTTGGGCATGTCCGCTGGTGTATAGTGTTGGTGATATGTTGCTGCCTTGGGGTACTCCACTGTAGAGGGTGAAGTTTTGACCTATGTAGTTGTCGATGGTGAGTTTGCATTGTCTGTTGTCAAGGAAATTGCAGAGGAGAGCCGTGATGTTGGGTGGCATGTTGAGTTGAATGATCTTGTATTTGAGCCCTTCATGCCATACTTTGTCGAAGGCTTTGCTGACATCTCTGCATACTATGTTACATTGGTTTCTGTTGCTGGCTGCATTTGCGATGGATTCATATATTAAGGCTATTGCAGTGTAGGTGCCTCGGTTTTTCCTGAAGCCGTGTTGTCTATGGTTGTATTTCTCTTCATACTCTAGGTGGTTTCTTCTATCTGACGGAGAGAGGCTTAAGTACACAGGGTGACCTTACTAAACATGAGGTCAGGTCATAAACATGACATCCACTAATCTGCACACCAACACCACCACACACGCAAAGGAGCTTATGAGAAAGGGCGACGTGACTAGTCAAGTTAAGTCTGGTAAAAAATATCGGACCCACTAATCATCTAATCTACATCTAACTCCAAGGTTTTCAAAGCATTTTTAACCTTGGGCCACTGACACTTAAATTTGTGTAACATATCAGTTTTGTGCTGACCATCACTAAGGTTTATAGAATTCAATTCCCTAATCAAACTAGCTTCAACCAGAAGTCTTTCTGTGATACATGATGATTTGTACACTTCTAAGCTGTTTTCCCAATCCATGGGATGATTCTTGTTCCTAACATGAACGAACAGTGCACTGCTTTCACATGCTGTTCTGATATTGTACTTGTGCTGTTTAATTCGGAGTGGCAATGCTTTCCCAGTCTGTCCTACATAATTTCCATTACAGTTGCTACATGGAATGCAGTAAACATTTCCATTTACATTCAAGGTTGGGCTATTCTTGATAAATATACAGGTATTGGTAATAGTAGAGTCAAACTTAAAAACAACATTAATATTTAATAATTTAAGGGACTGATCTAACGGGACCTTTTGCTCATCCAGGCATTTGCAGAACAAGATCTCCAAGGTCTCCGTAATCTCATTGCACAACTCTCTTAGCACTGTGGGATGCACCATGTCAGGGCTGGGACTCTTATTTAGCTTTGATAAATTATTTCTTATAACCTCTTCTGAGAACAATGTGGGTCAGCTCTGTGTCATACCGTCTGTTCTCAAACGCAGGAAGATTGCTCGCATCCTCTCTTGTGAACACCGAGGAAAAGAAACTGTTCAATGCCTCTGCCTTGCCCTGGTCATAATCTATGTAACTACCATCTTCAAGCCTCAGGTCCGATACTCCTACTCACGTTTTTAATCTTGACTTTGTGTAGCGGTAAAACACCTTTGGGTTTGACTCGACCTCACTTGCAATCAGCCTCTGGGACTCCTTTTCAGCCCTTCTACACTGACTTTGCTTGGTTCCTGGTCTAGCATGCTTCCTCCTGTCCTGCTTATTGTTTGTCCTATTCATGTCTTGAATTTCTGGGTTTCTTAATTTTGTCAATTGCCGCATGGTATATACAATACTTCTCGTTCAAATGGTTCACTTTACTGTATGATGTTCAGCGTAGTGTCTGCGTTCTTATACCTTAGTGAGTCAGGCCAGTGGATAACCCTCATCTCCTCCCTCTTCCCATTTTAATTTCCATTGTAATATTTGAACCTTGGCCTGGTTTTGTCATGTACCAATTAACACCTCAACCTGAACAACATTACGTGGTGGCTGGTGCCAACGGGGACTAGGTGTTCCAGCTTGGCTACCATACCCTCCTTGTTTGTTATGATGAGGTCCAGTGGCTTGGGTTTTTGCTCCAATCTGTAACGAGTCAGGTCTTTAACATGTTGGAACAGAAAGTTATCTCAACAATTTCTACAAAAAAGTAGTTGGGTTATTCAAACCATTTGGCATGGTCTCATTTCTCCAGTCAATGTCGCCATAGTTAAAATCCCCAGTCGATGTTGCCATAGTTAAAGTCCCCTAAGACATTGAGGTGGCTAGGGTTGAGCACTGTTGCATTGTCTATTAAGGCTCTCAAGTTCCTTTGGTTTAATAAGCTACAGTTTGAGGACCTGTATATACCCCCGATAATAAGTGAATCTCTCCCCTTTAATTTAATTTTACACTACTTGGCTTCTTCAAAAACATCCTCTTCCTGTACCCTCACCTGGCTGGCTCTAAGGTCTTGCCTAACATAAATAACCACACCCCTCTTGCAAGTTGCTTGAGAAAGGTTCGTAAATAAGAGTCAATACTGAACTCGCATTCCTTCAGGTTGATTCTCCTGTTCTTGTACAATAGTTCTACAACACCTACTATATTGGGTTGATGTACAGTCAACAAAAAAAAAATTCTGCACCTTTATGGTGTTATACAATATGACACACAGGCCCAAGAATTCTGAACAACACTCATTTGCGCAGGTGATTCCTGTTAATTTCTCTGTACAGTATTATCTATATGTGATAAAAAAAATATATCATACTGGTTATACAATACATCACAACCAGAAATACCAACCTTGCCAAATTAACATTGCCTCAGTCAGTGATTGTTGCAAAGGCCATAGACCTAGGGGTGCTCAAATTTGTATTTTGCCGACTGTACCTTTAATAGCGTTTCAAACTCCTCACTTATCAAGGAACAAGTCAGTATTAGTGTACATGACTTTCAAGCTGGAATTTGTTCTCGGTAACGTCTCTGCTCTTGGTGGTGACTGGCCCCCCTTCATTTTCTAAATGTCACTTTTACTTTACTTTTATCCTCTTCTCCACTGATCGGCTCGTTAGCTGCTTGGCCGATCAGTCACATCGCTGTTATGCACTGTTGGTAAGTACTGGGCATGCACTGGGTCCTGAATGTACAGTATCTGAACCTGCTCCAGTGCATTTCAAGTCTGTTATTGAAAGAACTCACATGAGGTCTATAGTATTTGGCTAGTATGAAAAAAGTTGTTTTTGCATGGACTCTTGTCTATACCTTGCACATAGACCATACAGGTATACAACCAGACAGTGAGGGTATATGGTGGAAATGGGGACTGAGTTGGCTATTATTCTGTACTGTAATCATCAAAAGAATGTCAGTGATTTTTTTTCCTTATTAAGATGTGAATATTTTTAAAATTGTATTTTAAAGGACCAAACCAAACAAGCCTGGCCTTGGGTTAAAGATTGTTAGGTTCAGTATGCAATTCTAAACATGTTATAAGAAGAGTGCAAAATATAATACCGTAATCAATATGTGGTCTGTTAAGTTGATGAGGCAGATAGCCATGCAGGAGATCTTTTCACCCCACAGAACCTTGTGCCGGAGCCGTACTCATCGAGGGAAAGACGAAGGTGGTGAAGGTGTGTGATGACAGGGGTCACGTTTTGGTAGTGAACAAGGACCGCATTACAGCTGGGGATGGGGTCAGAGCTCATGATTTGGAAGGCAAAGCCGCCATCTCAAACTCTACCAATGCTAAGGTTTTCACTTTCCTCCAAGAGGCAGGTATGTATAACGCATGAGATAATTTTGGTTATTTTCTAAAAAAAAAATCAGTTACTTGCCACACAGGACAAGGTATAGTAATCTTTAGTTCATGAGCAAAACCTTTTATGTCAGAGAAGGAAGTGCAGCTAAGATTTTTCAAGGAAGAGATTAGGATATAGTAAAGTAAAGAGCCTTTCTATGCATACATCTTTTCACCTTGGGTGCCAGCTTTTTTATGTGATTAAACACCCTAATGCAACCTGGAGGGGTTGGTGAGGCTAGATTAGGTCAGGTGAGATTTGGGTTACAATATTCTAATCACATGAAAAAATGTAGGGTGCCTAATCTTCATATGGTCTGTAAGTCATATACATTACATAAACTGTACTGAACTGTAGTACCTGTACTGTATTTATTGTAACCTTATGACTTCTCAGGCATCAAAACATCATGGGTCCGGACTTTTGACAGCAAAAGTTACCTGGCTCGTAAGTGTCACATGGTACCACTGGAATGGGTGACACGTCGAGTTGCCACAGGATCTTTTCTCAAACGCCACACTGGTGTCACAGAAGGTTACCGATTTACACCCCCTAAGTTGGAGACCTTTTATAAGGTAAAAGTTTTAGTTTATGGTTTTCATTGTGCATTACCAATGTGTAGAAGCTTGTAGAGTCAAATTGTAGTTAGGATTCTTATGTCTGTTATCCTAACCCTTCGCCCCCTTATTTGTTGATCAATGATTATAGAAATATCAAAGAAAAGGGAATGGTGTAGAAATTGACACAAAAAGACTAAATACATCAGCCAGAAATATCCTTGCATAGATATGTGGACATCAGGGAAATTTGTGTACAGTATCAGAATTTGTTGGAAATTAAATACTTCTACATTCTAGAATACTGTACAGTATATAAAAATAATGCAAAGTAAATTGTAGCAGTTTAAATTATTGTCCTCTGAAATGTAGATTATATACCAACAGTACAAGTACTTAAAAGAATGGACTAACCACCCAACTAAGTTAAGATTACAAATGGTGAAGATTTAAAGTAAACACTCTACTGTATGCTGAAATGGAGATAAATTTAGTGATATAGATTTATAATTATTGGTAAACATTTGTTTGTGAAAAAAGCAGCAACTGACAGTTTGTAATTAAGTTTATGTAGCATTAGAAGATCTTTTATCGCAATCGTAAATGGCTTATTGATTTCTTTATTCCCAACTAATTTCATTTATATTGACTTGAAAATACTGCATAGGCAGGTGAGTATTATTTGATCACCTCAGGAATTTGTGATCCTACCTTGCCAGGTGTTCCCACCCTTTGGGTTGGTGTTAGGAAGGACATCCAGCTGAAAAAACTTTGCTTAAACTTGCCTAATGGCAACTGGGTCACCAGAAGTGTACTAATCCCAGGTCTTTGCTGAATTTTCTGGACTGGTGCCCTGCATTTGCAGTGGGGGAAGGGGGGGGGGGGGACATCCTGCTTTAGTTTTGCCCAAAAGTTATCAACAGGTAATAGAGACTATCCCACACAAGCGTGGAAAATGGATTCGAAACGATGATGGCGATAATTATTGACAATACAGGTAGTAAATTAGAAAATTAAATATTGATTTTCAGTTTTAGAATACATTGTCCTTTCTTTTTTACAGGATGATGCCAACCATGATCCACAGTGGAGTGAAGAGCAGGTCCTTGAAGCCAAGTTAAATGCAGGAGGTGTAGTGATTGGACGACTGGAGTATGACATCATGGCACGTACAACAGTGACAGTGTTTGAGGTGTTGGAGCGGGCATGGGCTGCCTTGGACTGTGCTCTTATTGATATGAAGATAGAGTTTGGCATTGATGAAGAAACGAGTGAGTGTCACAGGAAGGAAATCTTTAGGTCTGCAGAATGTGTGATTGATGTGGTAATACATATAATAAGATAATGAAGTTTTTAATATTTGGGGACTGGTGAATGGTGTAAGAGTAGTGCATGAAGAAGTAAGACATTGAGGAAGATGGGAGGGTGTATGAGATAATATTAAATTAAGTACCTGTGCAAAGAGACCTCATTATTCGTAGGGGTTCTGTTCCAAAAAGTTCATGTGAATAATGGTTTTTACGAAAAAAACAAAGCAATTTTTCCCATATACATACAGTATATCAAAGTAATAATGAGGGCACAAACATATAAATACTGTACAGCTATAAATAATACCCATTATTATCATGTATGTACTGTATACAGCAATAAATATGTTAACAGTTGTATATGTACTGTATACAAGTAGTAATGGATATCACATCCCCAACTACAAAGCATCTACAAAATTTTCACATTCGTATCTTGAAGTTGCGGATTTGTAGAGCTGGGGATTTTTTATAACTTGTATAAAATATTGATATGTAAAAATATTTTCACACACACACAAAAGAGTGATGGACTGGCTTATCGGGAGTTCGGGTATCTTGTAAACTGACCAGTGGGGCTTAGATATCCTAAGTAAACAGGAGACCTCTGACATTTTGGTGTCTGTCAGTATTTAGCGTTGTGCAATTGATAATTTTTACAGCAGTAAATTCTTTAGGGATATATTGGTAATGTATTCATAAGGTACACAATGGGAGTCAAGTTTAGACTCCTAATTCAAATACATCTCAGATTTTTTTTAAAATCTTTAGCTCTGATCTGGTATCAAGTGGGGGGAGGTGGTGCGATCTTATTTACTACACTATCTGGTGTTGGGCGAGTCCAAAGGGAAAAGTTAATATTTAAATGTCAAACTGCATTGAAATTTAGAAGAAAATGGACTTGAGAAATAAGTACAGTATCAAAATGGTGATATATATTCACCACTGAGAAAGAATATTTACTGATCCCTCATTTGCATCATTGGGTTCCTGTTCAAAAAGGGGCAGGATGCCTGGTGACTCGAATCTCCTTTCGTAACGTTAGCTTGGTAGACGAATTGTGGAGCATAGACTCGGTATGAGTTCATTAATTGCAGCAAGTATTTGTTACTGCTTTTTTTTTTTTTTTTTTTTTTTAGTCCTCCTTTCTGGTCTTGGTGGATCTCTGCAGCTTTTAACATGGTGGAGCATCTGTTACTTCAGGGTCTTTGGTCATTTGGTGTCCATGCACCACTGCTCAAGTTTTATTTGTCAGAGCGATCTCATACATGTGATGGTATGGGGAACCCTGAGATGCCTGTGTTAGCATTTCTGTATATTCCGATACTGGGAAAAAAAAATAGTTTTGCAACTACAGGTTTTATAATAAACTGGATCTCTGTATTCCCCTAAAAAGTGTAGTTAACCATTGAGTCGATGTTACTCAACCTGTTTCGGACTGGTAGGTAGTTTTACGTATGAGGCGCTCGACATTAGAAGGGGGTGAAGGAAAACCCCAGCCGAAATGAGTTTTTTGATGGATATCACTATTTTCACCCTTCCTCTACATGTTGGCATTGGATGTAACCCTCTAGTTAGAATAGAAATATGGTGGAAAGTTCTTCAAAAATAAGGTGCGATTTCGCCTCGGGCCTGGAGTTACGTATCTGGCTGTGCGCTCAAAGAAGGTGGCAACATCCCGTTCAGAGTGAGAGGAGCGCAAGCCAATGGCAGCCCGCCACCCTCGGACCATATCCCTGGAGGCAGCCAATCACAATGGATTTCCCCTTGCTACGTCACAACTCGTCTGCCAATCCACGCGCCCAGATGCTGCCTCCTTGTTAATTTTGGCGCATTGTATAGCATCAGGAGGTTCAGTGTGCTAATTTTTTTTTAACTTTCAGCATAACATTGACATTATTCGTGTTCCACGGGTGTGAGAAGTGCTGTGCAATATCTGCCCAATATAAGTGAGGCCAGGCCTTCTGGTGTGGGTTCAGGAACCTATTATTCCTGAGCGCGTGTTTAGTGACGACAGTGCACATGGACACCCCCAGTAATGCTTGGTGATAGTGGTTTTGGTATATTCATAATACAAATTGACTGCTGTGCATCACAAAACCTTTTTGCAGACTGTTCCGGTACAGAGTTAAGTGTCATGCACCGACGGCAATGATGACGATGAAAGTGAGTAATGATAACACAGTGACACTAAAGTTTCACAACAGTCACATACAGACTGTGAGGAGGTAAAAGTGGACAGTAATGAGTCGTGCAGTGACCATGATAGTGATGAAAGTGAGACTGACCCAACGAATGCTAGTGAAAGTGAGCCCATAACTCAGTCTTATAATGAAACTGAACTGTTGCCGGCATCAATAATCAATGATTTAGTTGATGAAGAATCTGTGTGCCGATTTTTAGAGAGGACAGAGAAAGACTGATCAGTATGTGATTGATTATGACGAGGCCATTAAAGTTATACGCACTCCTCAGGATTTACTGAACTTCAAGTTGTTACGATCTTCAAGGATAATAAAACGAAGTAACCAAGATTGTAATACTATTATCATATTACTGTTTTTACCAAAGATTATGCAAACTTTCTCTGCCTTTTTACTTTTTTTTTATGTCGGGGGATGAATGTGGTGTTTCCTTATTATTACACAATATTATAAATCTTTAATAATAGGGACGGAAAGATAAATACTGATAGGCAAATGAGTTTTTTTTATTATTATTTAATTTTGGGGGGGGGGGTTGGTAGGTGTAAGACGGGTGTTGTTTTTTGGTGATCATTAACTTGTTTTACAGTATTAGCCCACAAAAATAAGAAAATTTTGCAGAAAAATGCAATTATTGTTGGTTTGAAGATCGAACAACTGTACATTATGGGAAGTTATTCTCATTCAACTCACAATAAAATAATTACTATTCACACTACTAACTTACAGTTTTCTAGTAGAGGGATTGAGCTGCATGATAAAAAAAATTACCCTCTAGCTTAAAAAACAAAAAAGTTAACTTGTTTGAACTTCAAAAAACTTTAAACTCCTTTTTCTCAACTTTTTGAATTTGGCGCTTCACCCCCTTCTAATGCAGAGCTCCTCATATGCAACCTTAATGGATTTGCTGTTATATTGAAATACTTGTATCTAGTTTGCCATACAAGGTTGACTTTCTCTCCCAATCCTACACCCATCTCTAGATGTTGCTGATATGGCGAACAGGCGTACCAACTTAAGATGATGCATTTTGTCTAGTGTTTCAAATTGTAGTGACGATAAATCTAACCATACTTTTTGGGGGACTGTACAGTACAACATTATTTCTTCAGTCACAACATCTGGCTTTTTAAATACTGTACTGTACTTGTAAAGGTCTCCTAACAGACCACACCCAGGTATCTCATTTAACAGATTTGCTCTTCAACAAGATATCTTATGTAATCAGATATAAAAGTAATACAAACAAATTCTTTCGATAACAGAGGAAATCCTGGTTTCCGACACAATTGACTCGGACTCCTGGAGACTTTGGCCTTCAGGTGACAAGAGGCTCATGAAGGACAAACAGGTAAGAGTTTTGTGAATTTACTTTCCAGTCCCCTTTTCCTGCTACAGTATAGAATCTCGAGAACCACGTACGCATACTCCCTTCATGACATGAATGAATGACAATACTATACATTGTACAGTATTGTCATTCATTCATATTACTGTAATGGATATATTCTGCTGTGCAATTCCCCATCTTCACCAAGGATTCAGATACCTACAGTAGGCTCTCATATTTGGACACCAATTTAGTCTGTAAAATCCTTGCGAAATTCAAATCATCCAAATTTAAATACAACTTCCTATGGAGAAAATTAATTTGAGTCTGGTGCTTTGGAGGTTTGGCTAAATTTTGCCTTATTTACCCTACTTTTTTGGCAAATTACTACCTGTAATAAAGCAACATCCTAATAAACCAACGAAAATAACAATGTTAAGTAAAAACTAAAAAAAAAAAAAAAAAAAAGTTTCCTTGTCAGCCAAACTATATTTTGCATGTTTCTTGCCAACTCTCTACTCCCTTTTTGCCTTTGGTGGTTCTTGACACTTGCCATATCAAGGGCGCGAAATGAGCGTCTGAACACGAGATCACCAAGAGATAAAGTTATGGCTGTCTCAGTGCGTGGGTGGGAAGGAACTAATGGCGCTTCTAGTGCTACAAACAACTAAGATAATTTGCAGGAATGAAAATGGCTTGACACCAGTGAAGGCCTGGTAGTGAATGAGCAAAGTTCTAGACACTCAAGTGTGAAGAAACAAAAATTCCTGCGCTTTCAGGCCAGCAGACAACTATTTGCAATTCCTCAATAGATGGTGCTGCTGCACCACTGCCATTAGTAAACAAACCGCACAGCAGCAAGGGTTGTTTTGTTTTTTTCTTTTTCAAAATTAATAATTTCGGTTAGATATATAAAACTTTCTTCATATTTTATACTCGGTGACATACACACAATACTACATATTTTAGTCACAGTTTATCCCATTCTTTCTCATTTGTTTTATAAATTCTACTGGAAGCTGATCAACCCTACAAGCTTAATTTTTTTTTCATTTTGTTCACAGTTGCCTAAACATGTTTCCAGAATTGCCATTTTGATCTTAACTTTTCGTTTCTTACCTCTACTCTATTTTCATCATTGTATAGTTGTTCTACATACTCTATCCATCCCTTTTTTACTTCTGCTTGAAACAGGATCTTATTGTCTTTGCTTTTAATCGTTCCACCCCAGATTTTCTTAATTTTATCCTCTTCACCACTAATCGGCTCCTTAGCCGCCTGGGCGATCGATCACGTCTGTTACACATTCTTGGCAAGTACTGGGCATGCACCGCCTTCTGAATGTACTGAACCTGCTCCAGTGTTGGTCAAGTCTGGTCTTGAAAGAGCTCGCACTCGGTGCCATCACAACACTTTCTGGCAGATTGTTCCAAGAGTTCACAACTTTTGCTCTGAAAAAGTTTGCCTTCACAGTTTTCTGGACTTGTGGCTTCTTCAACCTTGAGCTGTGACCCCTTGTGGGCGAGCGTCCGCCCGCTCCAGGTAAGGTCACTCAACAGAGTAGTGCCCCTTGAGATGCTTATACACCTCAACTAGGTCGCCCCTTGCCGTCTGTAGTATAAGCTAGGCAAGTTCAGGCGCTCCAATCTCTCAGGGTGATGAGGTGCCAAAGTTCAGGCACCAGTCTGGTGGCCCTCCTTTGAACATTTTCAATCAACTGACAGTCCCTAGTACATCTCGGGGACCAGATGGGGTGACATACGGTATTCCAGATGGGAAAGCACTTCACTCTTGAAGAGTGTTACGAGGGACGGGTCGTCTAAATATCTGAACGACCTTCTTATAAGACTTAATAAATTATTTGCCTGATTTAACTACCGGTACTTCTCGCAATGGTCCGAGAACTTTAGCTCAGTGTCAACATACACACCAAGGTCCTTGTCACATTCAGTCTCAAATAGTGCAGTTTCTTCATCCCGTTGCTATGATACGCCTCCTTACCATTGGTACGCCCCAGGTGCACCCTCTTACACTTCGTGACATTGAATCTCAGCAGCCATTTCTTCGACCATTCTTGGAGCTCACAGAGATCCTTTTCTGCAGCTCTTCACAGTCTGCTTAGTTCTTGATTTCCCGAAATAACTTGGAGTCATCTGCAAACATTTGTATGGAGGAGTGTACAGCGTTACGCATGTCATTTATGAAACAAACAAACAGCGGGCCCAATACACTGCCCTGTGGTACCCCGCTTGTGACAGGTACAGCTGATGATTTCGTGCCATTAACCACCACACTCTGCTTGCGGTAAGGTAGAAAATCTTTTATCCACGCTACGACTTTTTCCTGAATTCCATACCCTTACATGGGGTACACTGTCAAGTCTTGGCAAAATTTAGGTATATATTGTCGATATTACCACCCCTTTCCAGAATATGGGTCCAAATATCCAATACCTTGAGCAATTGTGCGGTATGAGTGCATTATATCCAATACTTTGAGCAATTGCGCGGTATGAGTGCATTTATTCCATCTTCTACCAAAACTTTCACATTACAATCATGGTTTGATCGCTCCTGTTCTTGCTTGCAGGGTGAGAGATAGGGCATATTGAGCTATGAAACTATCTCCTTCTCCTATTACCCACACCTCTTTCATTACTTTTAGGAATCGTTGTGAGGCTATTCTTCGTAGGGCCAAGCGGAATTTTATTAAAAAAGACCACTGTCCTGACTAATTCTTCCTCTAGTAAATCCTTCTGGTCCTTAACTAAAAACATCTGTAACAACTTCTGCACGCCTTTTTTCCTCCCCTCTTCCGTCCCAATAACTCTATAGCCAACTCTCCCCCTGACAAAGCCAACCTCTTTGGCACCTTATTCTCCTCTTAATTCCACCTTAGATGATTCTCACTCTATCCCTCCTACCCCTGCACCTCCTACTGAACCTATGCACTTTCCTATAATCTCCACTCACAGGGTTGCTGGTGTGTTATCCAGGTTGGATGTGAGTAAGGCACATGGACTGGACGGAATACCCCCTCATGTTCTGAGGGAATGTGCTGAAGCCCTGGCCCCTGTACTTGCTCGCCTCTTTCGCCTTTGCCTCAAAACCCAAATTTTTCTTCTTGGAAGCATGCCTCGGTTCAGATCATCCCGAAGAAGGGTGACCATTCTAATCCCTCTAACTATCGCCCCATTGCCCTAACTTCATCCCTCTCTAAGATTTTCGAAAATATCTTGAACTCCCATTTTCTGTCACCTTGAATGCCTTTCTCTTTTGTTGGATCACCAGTATTGCTTTCGCCAGGCGAAATCTACTGGTGATCTGCTCTCCTATTGCACCCATCTCTGGTCATCCTCTCTTAGGGATTATGGGGAATCTTTTCTCGTGGCTCTCGACATTTCCAAAGCATTTGACAGGGTATAGCACAAGTGTTTGCTATCTAAACTTCCCTCTTTTGGTTTCTCTCCCCCACTTTGTTTTCTCATCTCTAGCTTCCTTGAGAACCGATCCATGGCAGTTGTTGTCGAGGGATCGATTTCTCGCTCTTTCTCTACCAGTAGTGGCGTCCCACAGGGTTCTGTTCTTTCACCAACTCTCTTCCTTCTTTTTATCAATGATTTACTTCACACTACAACTAATTCTATCCATTCTTACGCTGATGATTCTACTCTTCACTCTTCCTCACATTTTCCCCTTCCTCCTAACTCTCAAACTAGATCTGTTTCTAGAAATGATATCATTACTTCTATCAATGCGAATCTGTGCAGCATCTCTGAATGGTGAGGTACAAACTTGGTTAAGTTCAATAGTAATAAATTAGACGATCTGCCACCAATTACATTTCAGGACGCTATCATCCTCCCAAATTCTGAAATAAATATGTTATGCCTCACCATTTCCTCCAATATGTCCTGGAAAACACACATCCTTAGTATAACTAAGACTGCCTCCCAAAAGTTGAATGTTGTACAGATGCCACAGCTACTTCACTACTGAGCAGTTGCTCCAAGTATATAAGGGATTCATTCGTCCTAACTTGGAGTACTGCTCTCATATCTGGGGTGGCTCTTCTTCTGTCCAACTATTAGATAGGGTGGAATCTAAGGCATTTCGTCTTATTAACTCTCCTCCTTTAGTCGACAATCTCTCTCCCTTTCTCTTCGCTGCAATGTTGCTTCACTCTCTCTCTTTTACAGGTACTTTAACGGGCAATGTTCGGTGGACTTGGCATCGTGTGTACCGCCGGCAAGGCCGTGGGTTCGCAACACACGTCTTGCCTGCGGTGCGCACCGTTCCTCTGTGGATGTCGGTCACACGAGAATAACCCGTTTTAGTACCTCCTTCTTTCCTCACACAGCCAAACTGTGGAATGCTCTGCCTTCTGTGTTTCCATGCTCTTACAATCTGTCTCACTTTAAAAAGCTGGTTTTCCGGCATCTTCGTGGTGTAGATTAATACAGTACAGGTTGACAATCCCTTATCCGAAATCCTTGGGGCCAGAGGCATTTCGGATTTTGGAATTTTTCGGTTTTCAGAATGGTTAGGGTTGGTTTTTTTTTTTTTTTTATAATATATAGTCCACCCGGGCACAAGTCACTGACCCACATTGGGGCCTGGGGTGCAAAAATATAATAACAATAATAATAATAATAATAATAATAATACAGGTAATTCATAGGTCTAGGTCGTGTTTCTCACGTCTTATCTTTTTTCATTCTTTTATTTCTTTATTATTTTATTAATACAGTATTATTGTTATTATTATTATTATAAATTTTATTATATTATTTTAATATTTTTATTTACTATGAATAATTATTATAATTATTATTTTTATTATAATTATTATTACTATTACATTTTCGCCCCCCAGGCCCCGATGTGGGTCAGTAATCTATGCCTGGGTGGGCTAATCCCTGTATAAAAAAAAAAAAGGGCTCCTCAAAAAACTTTCGGTTTTCAGAGCTTTTTGGTTTTCGGAATTTCGGATAAAGGGTTGTCAACCTGTATAACCTTTTTTTTTCTATATATACAATTTCTTTCCGTTTTTTTTCGCCCCCAGGCTCCATTGTGGGTCGTTGACCTGTGCCCGGGTGGGCTAATTCCTGTAAAAAAAAAAAAAAAGCAGGAGCTCCCCGGCATAAAACCATGTTTAATATTTCTGTACATTTTCCTATACAGTACTGTAATTATGCCTTGTCATCATCTTCAAACTCCTTGCATTTCCTTTCTAGGTCATCAATCTTGGCCTGTCTGCATTCTCTTTGAATTTCTTTAATTTGTGTGTAAACCTCACTTTTTCTTGTACAGTATTTCTTCATCTGTTTTCTTTAAAAATTTAATTTGTCAACCACTCATTTTTTAGCCTTGTTCCTCCTATGTCCTACAAGGTTTTCCTCAGTATTTTAACATGACTGTATTTCTTTGTAATTGTTAATTTTTTGTCCTGGTCCTTGTTCATCAAAGTTACCCTCTAGCAATACTAAAAATTTATTTTTGGTCACAATTTTATATTCTATCTCTGCCCATTTTGTGCTTACCTACTGTAAATCTCATTTGATTTTGTTCATAGTTTTTCTTTTTAGCCTCGCTAAACTTGCTAATGGTATGTGATCTGACCCACAATCTGCCCTGGATAGGTCATGATTCGAGTTAAAATATACTGTATACAGTAATGTATTTGATTCCTGACTTTACATTCTCCTGGGGTGAGACCCATATCCTAACCCTCTGTTAATATTTCTAATTTCATTGGGCAGTCTATAAATTACCGGACCTTCTATATTTTATCAAATTAAGCAGGGCATTCTCAGCCTTTTGGTGCAACCTATCCTGGGCTTTTAAAGGTTTCTTTTCTGAAGGTTCTTGGTAATAATCTTAAAGAATTAATCAAGAATGAGAAGGAATTTGGGTTCCATCCAATATCAGTGACAAATTTAAATGGCTAAAAATTCCAAGCACCAGTCCCTTTTGAAATCTATACAATAGTATTTTCTTTCCACTACAGGTCTACCGCAATCTAGAGACTGTCACTGATGAGGGTCTAAGTCAAGTAAAGCGGAACTTCCAGTGGGTTGCTGACAAGTTGGATTCTTTTATTCCCAAGCCTAGAGGATTGGCAAGTTTATTTTTGTTCATTCTTATATATCCACTGAGTGAGTCCTAATTATTGCTTATGCTAGTTCTATTACAGTGGGGTATGCTATAACGAACGGATCCTACTACGAATAATCCTATAACGAACGGTTTTACCTATAAAATTGAGAATGCTATAACGAACGAAACTCCTACAACGAACATTATTTAATTTTTTTTTTTTTAATTTATTGTTTTTTATTACAAATATTAATGATATTCTTTATTTCAGGGGTTTAGATGCATATTTATGCACTTTTTTAAAATTTTTACAATTTTATATTATATTTTTCAGTGTTAAGTGGTTGTACAGGTAGTTCTCCTATAACACGATAATTGTGTTCATGTAAAATATCGTGTTATAGAAAATCGCGTAATAGAAATAACAGGGCTTATGGAGAAAATAGGGTTAGGTGCAGATTACTCGAAATCGAAAAAATTTAGTAGTTAGCCTAATACAAAGGATAGCACAGTCTAAATAAATGTTACATTCATATCTAATAATGAAATCATACAGTAAATGTAACACTTTAGTTGATGGGGGAGAAGGGTGATTTTGAGGTTGATAAAATCGAGCTTCTCTTCAAGTGTTATATCCTTTCTTTTACGATCATCACCGGGAATTCTATCACCAGAACGCTTCTCGTTGATATTCTTTACTATATTCACAGTTAATACAGTGGGGTATGCTATAACGAACGAAACTCCTACAACGAACATTATTTAATTTTTTTTTTTTTTCTAATTTATTGTTTTTTTATTACAAATATTAATGATATTCTTTATTTCAGGGGTTTAGATGCATATTTATGCACTTTTTTACAATTTTTACAATTTTATATTATATTTTTCAGTGTTAAGTGGTTGTATTTGGGGGCCTGGAACGGATTAATCCTATAACGAACGAATGCTATAACGAACAAGGTCCTAGAACCAATTAGATTCGTTATAGCATACCCCACTGTACCACAAAATTGGAGAAATAGTAAGCAAAAATCGCGTTATAGCAAACAAGCGTTCGCGTTATACAAATATCGTTCCTAATTCATAAATCGCGTTAGAGCAAATTCGCGTTATCAAAACACGCGTTATAGCAGAACTCACTGTATTTGGGGGCCTGGAACGGATTAATCCTATAACGAACGAATGCTATAAGGAACAAGGTTCTAGAACCAATTAGATTCGTTATAGCATACCCCACTGTACTTAAGAGTGTGGCGTTGAAATGTTCTTGCTTTCTTTTTTTACGGGGGTTAGACCACCCGGGCACGGGTCAATGGCTCATATCATGGTCTGGGGGGCGAAAATATAATAATAACAATAACTAATAACAAATTATCCTAAAAACAAAAAAAGATCAATAGTAAGAAATGATGTACAGGTTGACAATCCCTTATCCGAAATCCTTGGGACCAGAGGCATTTCGGAATTTTTCGGTTTTCAGAATGGTTATTTATTTATTTTTATTATTATTTTTTTTTTAATGTGTATTAGCCCACCCGGGCATAGATCACTGACCCACATCAGGGCCGGGGAATATAATAAAAATAATAATAATAATAATTCATAGGTCTGGGTCGTGTTTCTCACTTGATCTTTTTTTCATTCTTGTATTTCTTTATTATTATTATTTTATTATTACAGTACTCCTGTTTTATTGTTATTTTTATTAATATTATATTTTATTGTTATTATTTTATTTTGGTGTATTTTTATTAAAATTATTTACTATGAATAATTATTATTATTATAATTATTACTATTACATTTTCGCCCCCCAGGCCCTGATGTGGGTCAGTGATCTATGCCCGGGTGGGCTAATCCCTCTTTAAAAAAAAAAAAAAAAAAAAAAAAAAAAATTGCCCCACAAAAAAAACTTTAGGTTTTCAGAGCGTTTCGGAATTTCGGATAAAGGGTTGTCAACCTGTACTGTATGTATGTTGTGTTGTCAAAGTAAGAGAAACAATTGAGATCCTGCAACTGTGTGTAAACGAGGCATAAAGTCAAATCAGCAACCTGGGGACTTGATCACAGTTTTTGTGATGCCATATGGCAGCAGGGTCTACCATTAGATAACACATTATGCTTCCAATATCTTCCCAGGCTGTAGTACCTCCCTGTTTGATAGCTGCCTACTACCTATTTTCACTAAAGAACTACAACTTTTAATTTCAGGTAGTGGTGTTAATGGGATCCCCATCTGATGCTCAACATTGCGAGAAAATCCGTGAACATTGTAAGAAGTTGAGTGTCCCTTGTGAACTGCGAGTCACTTCTGCTCATAAAGGAACACAGGAAACACTTGCCATTATTACACAAGTAAGTACTGTACTGTACTGTCTTTAGAAGATTGTTTTCAATGTGAAGCGTAGAGGTAATTATGAATTATAAAAAGGAATTTGATCCCACAAAACTTCATTTTTGAATTGTTGTGTAATGTCATTGGCAGATGTCTGACACACGGGTCACAGCTTAAGTTTGAAGAAGCCACAAGTTCAGAAAAGTGTCAGGGCAAGCTTTTTCAAGGTGAAAGTTGTAAACAGCTGAAACAATCGGCTAAAGAGCAGATTGTTAGAGCTCACCCAAGACTAGACTTTACCAACACTGATGCAGTTACAGATACATTCTGGAACCAGTACTTGCCAACAGTGCATAACAGACGTGACCGACACTCAAGCGGTTAATGAGCTGAATAGTGGCAAAGAGGATAAAACTAAAAGTTAAAAGTAATAAAAGTGAAATGCTGTGGTTGTTTGGTACCTGGATGGATGTCTGTGATAACTTTTATGTTAAATTGTCTTGTGCAAGGTGCCAGTCTTTGGCATGTTACCTAGCATGCCATTGTTTATTTTGTTTTTGTGCGAGGATGGTGGCAAATGGGCCGACGATACTGTTTTCCACAATAAAGTCAAGATAATTTAGTGACTACTTAACCTATAAATTAGTCAAGGCACAAGATGTCACAGTATCCAAGATAGATAATAATTTTCTGAAAAGTTGGTGACTTTAATCTTTTTGGTTAAAAGACCACTCAGTATTGTCATTGTTCTTATCATTATGCTCTTAAACTTATAAGTATGCTGATATCCCCATTTGTTCCTCCAGTATGAGGGCATGGGCATTCCTCTAGTGTTTGTGGCAGTGGCTGGTCGGAGTAATGGCCTGGGCCCAGTCACTTCTGCCAATACCTGCTGCCCAGTGATCAACTGCCCACCACTCAAGCCTGAAGATGTAGCAAGAGATGTGTGGTCGTCCCTCAGCCTGCCTTCAGGTGAGTTTTTTTCTCTCAAAAACTTAATAGCACCAGTAGTTAATCTGTAAAATGAAATTTTCTACTACATAAATTAACATTTTAACTTGAACCACTTTTTTTCTCAAACCAGTTAGAGGCATGACCACATTGTTACTTGTGCATCCAGTCTATTGCATACTGTATTGTACTAGAATGAGTTGGTTAGTGGCTTCATTAAATATATTAAACTCGGTAAATATGACATTGTACATTGCTTGTCCAGTATTCACGTGATCTAAAGAATTGTCTTTTTGGCAGCTTATAGTAGGCTGCTACACAATTCTATTAATTTTTTTACTTTTCTTAATGCAGTCTTATTCCAAGGTGTGAAAATGTTGAAACTGAATAAGTATTGTAAAGAATTTTAATTTTGATTTCAGCTCAAACTTATTGGAATGCACAATCATTCCAGATGAAACGAGTAGTACTGTATTTTATAAAAAAAATTCTTGACAGGTATGGGTTGTGGTACAGTGCTTTACCCTGAGGCAGCAGCTCAGAATGCTGCTTCCATTCTTGCACTGAGTGACCATGTTATCTGGTCCAAGATAAGGGCAAAACAACTCAACCTGTGGACTGCACTCAAGCAAGCAGATTGGAGCATGTGCCAGTCGAACTGATATTTCTGAATTCTTATCCATAAGATTAATTATCATATTAACTTTGTTGAATATACTTATTGAAAATTTGATGCTAATTTTCTTATCCTGAAATTTGTTTTGTGTTCTATGTTCTTAATGGTCTAACTTTAGGTAGCTGTGTGGATCATACCTCTGGTTGATAGGAAATGTATGTAGTATTAACACATTCAAAATCTGCATCACATATTTTGAGATGTTCTCGTGTGACAAATATAGGTATTTATTTTGGTAAAACTGTCATGCGATTTCACATTGATTCAGCTGTGGTCTGTCGCAGTAAGTCATGGTCTGTATCTCCCCCTATAAAAATACTTGAGGGCTTCAACCACCATTGGAATTGTGCAGATCTGAGGACCTGACGCAGCACTGCAGTGTCTATATTTCCCTCTTTTAAAAAACAGTGGAACTTCAACAAAGTCAGTGCTGTGTGCAGTACCTTATTTTGTTTCTAGACTATGACAAGGTCCTGCTGGGCATCACTTTGTGACGTAGCAGCTTTCCCTGAGAGTGAGTTTTGTTGATGTGTGAGTGTTGTTGTGGGGGTATGGGAAATGAGGTGAAGATGAAGGGGCATGGAGGGGGAGGTCAGGCTCCCAGTCAGGACTGTGCTTGGGGTAATCACGCATCCGAGTTGCCTGTGGCCTCGGCCTGACTCGACCACTATGGTGCAGATGCTTGCGGAGGAGCCAGAAAGTAGGGTTTATGCCACATCTAAGGCTCTACTCTTGGCCTCCATATCTCCGCCCGGCGTCTAATAAAGGGAAGTTGGGTTTGGTGTGTTGGGTGTATGTAATATGTTGGGGTTCTTGTTTCTGTTCTGTACCTGTATGGGAGTATAATACTGTCAATGCATTCCTGCCATTGTGGATGTGTTTTTTTCTATCGGTTTGTCACCTAATTGTCTCCAGTAGATGTTGAGTTGTGGAATCTTGCTGTGCTCATGTAGGCATATGTTTGTGGTGAAGGATGTCCAGTGTGTGTGTTGTGTATGAAATGGAGTGACTTCTTTCTGTATGATCTGCAATATCTTGGTGTTGGTTGGTGCTGCTAACTAGATTGTGTAGGATGAATGTCATTAAGGTGTGTATGAGAGCTTTAAGTGTGAGTTGGTTTTAGTTGATGGGATTCTGAATTTGTATAAGCTTGTGAGTGCCTTGTTTGCAATTGCTACCTTTGTGTTGTGATATTTTTATGTTGAGCATGTTGTCAAATGTGACTCCTAACACAATATCTGTTCATCTGAGAAGTTTCCAAATGTTCATATATTTGCTTAAATAATGAAGAAAATATGATGAGAATTTTGTGGCAGCTGTGGTTGTAATAGTCACCAATTCATTAAGATCATTCTCTTTGTTATTTAAGCAAATAAAAACAAAAATTTGAGTCTTCTCATGATCTTAAATAACAATGAGTAGCTTAATATTATAAAAATGCTACCTTTGATTTGTTTAATATTTGTCCCGACAGTGATACAGCCGAAAATAGATCCCCCAATCACAATCTCCTTTATATAACTGCCTTATTTTACCAAGTATAGCCAGGTAAAATTGTGAGCACGAGACCCAGTGTATCATTGATGACTGTATATGAAGCGAAGATGCAGTCTTTCTGTGCCAAAGTAGGTGATTTGTGAGTTACTAGAGTTAGTTTGTATTCACCATTTGAGCTCTCCATATATATGTGTGTGTGTGTGTGTGACCGATTCAAATTCCCTGCATGCTTTGTCTGAAATGGTCTAGTCCCTGCCTATGTCAACGAGTGTATTTATGGGGTCAGGCAAGTCATTTGTTTAAAGTATGTACTATATGGTTTTGGGGAGATGACTGCTCCTTGTGGAATTCCTGCATTCAAGGGGAAGTTGTCTTAGTGCACATGTTTCAATTAAATCCTCATTTTTCTGGGTTTGCAGGTTGCAAAGGATCTGCTGTGATTTTTTGGGAGAGGTTAAAGTTTGTACATATTGTTACGACCCTCCTTTCACTGTTTACCCAACTTTACCACTGGTTACCAACAGCTAGGGTTATATGTACAGAAGCAGTAGATATATCAGTGTCACCGAACTACCGTTGGCTGTCCTACCAGTCTCCAGGGATTTCCCGAAGATCAGTATCAGTGTAGACAAACAGGCAGGTAGATTTCTACTCCGTCACAAACACACTTGTACACTGTAGTCTTTTTTAATAGTCATTAATTCTTCACAACACTGTTCACAGAGTAATGTTTTCACAGCTGGACTTCTCTCTTCGTACATACAGTATAGTCGGCACACTACCAGCGTACAATTCCTTAGTCTTTTCACTTTATACAGATCACAACAAATATCTTCAGTTGTCCTACTAGCCTTATACTTTCACACTGAGTAGAAACGGTTGAATGAATCGACTAGGCAGCCCGCTGCCACTTGTATACCTCTCTTCAAACGATCACAGAATATCCTAGCACAACACAGACACCTGGGAGGCTTTAGATCGTACAACTCTTATTGAAGCTTATAATAGGAAGTAAATCATAACAAAATTGATGCAATATATTCCAGAAAATTCTTACATAGGTAATACAGGTTGACAATCCCTTAACTGAAATCCTTGGGGCCAGATGGGTTTTGGATTTCAGAATGGTTAGGTTCATTCATTCATTTTTTTTTTTTTTTAGGATTAGCCCACCCTGGCACAGATGGCAGACCCACATTGGGGCCTGGGGGCACAAATGTAATAATGATAATAATAATAATTCATAGGTTAAGGAGTGTTTCTCACTGTTGATCTTTTTTTCATTCTTGTATTTACTGTATTGTTGTTGTTATTATTATTATTATTATTATTATTATTATTATTATTATTATTATTAGATTTTCGCCCCCCAGGTCCCGATGTGGGTTGGTGACCTGTGCCCGGGTGGGCTAATCCTGTATAAAAAAAAAGGAGGGGGTGATGGGTATGTGACGCTCTATGAAAAAACTTTAGGTTTAAAGAGGTTTTCGTAATTTCTGATAAGGGGTTGTAGCGTAGGCTATGTAGGAGATTTCGCACTAAGGATGGAGGTGAGAAGGGAAACTCACTATGGCATTTTCTATATATATATTATATGTACAATGCAGTGCTAGGGAGTTGCTGTGTGGTGAGGAGCTTGTTGAGAGGAGGTCTTGTCTGTTTGAGAGCATTGAATAGAATAATCTTCATGGGGGTGGGGGGGTATTTATACAAGTCTGCTGGAAGTGAGTGGCGCTGCTGATTGGCTGAGGTTGAAAGGGCGTAACTGGCCAATCACCGCGCAGTCTGAAAGCGAGGCTTGGTCAGAGAAACTCGGCGCCGGGTCGGCTGGTAAGCGACAAATCGGCAGTTGTAGGGGAGAGTATCCACTACAATACTCCCCCTCCCCTCCGAGCACTGCAGGAAACTTATTGTCAGCAGGTTTGTATTCCACATGTGAGACATAACGGGCGGGGATGTTAACCACTCCGCCACTACGGGTGACGACTCCGCCTAGTGTCACAAGATATGTGGAAGAAGCAAAGGGAGAAGGATGGTTGTAGATTAGAGAAGGTTGAACAGGTGAAAAATGTGGTGCTTCTCTCGCGGCAGGTGCAAAGTCCTCAGGGGCGCTGGGTGGGGTGTTAGGGTCGGATGCAGGAGCAGTAAGTACCAGAGGGAGAAAAGAGGGTGCTGTGGGCGGCAATGGTGACCGGACAGGTGAAAGGGGGCCAGGCCTGGTTTGCTGGGGGGGAATGTGGTGATTTTTGGCAGCAGGTGCACATTCCTTAGAGGCACTGGGTGGGGTGTGTGGGTCCACAGGGTTAGGTGCATGATCCTCATCAGGAGCAGTAAGTACCTGAGAATGGAAGGAGGACACATAGAACTGTTGTGGACAAGGTGGTGCTGCAAGTGGCAACTGTGGGTAAACTGGTGCAGGCATGGTTTGTTGGGGATAATGCTGGGCTGGGGGACCATCCGGTAAGGTGGCTGGCTTCACTCGATCGATGGTGTGGTGTCTGTCATTGTGACTAATGGTCAGGAACTTTGCTGACCATGCAAAAATCGGGAAGGGCCCGTTGCAGGGGCGTTGAAGTGAGATGCTGTGAGCATCGCGCCTGACGAAGACATACTCGGCCTGAGTAGTGCAGGAGGGATTTGTTCAGGGCGATGGGAAGGCTAGTATGGGGCAGTAGCTTTGAATGCAGAAACTGCTTGTCGTAGTGTTTGCAGTAGGTCGTGACGGGCAGCAGGAGTGAAGTGGTCAAGGTCAGGAGTAAGTGAGAAGTCCCAGGGTAGGCAAAGAGGCTCGCCTAGGGTGAGATCTGCTGGGCTGCAGTCCATGTCTTCCCTGTGTGATGCGCAGATGCCAAAGAGCACTAAGGGTATAGCATCCGTCCAGCTGTAGGGGTCGTGCTGTGCCTTGATGGCGTCCTTCAGCTGATGATAAAACCGCTCTACCATGCCGTTGGATTGAGGGTGGTAAGAAGTAGTGTGGTGTCTGGAAGTGCTGAAGAACTGCAGGAGACTATGCCAGAGTTGTGACTCAAACTGGACTCCTCGGTCAATGATGACAGTCGTGGGAGACCCAACGAGACAGGAAGGCACGGACGGCTGACTGCTGTAGCATTAGGCATGGGAATGGCTTCTATCCACCTGGTGAAACGGTCAATGCAGGTGAAGATGTAGGTGTTACCGCAGGTTGATGGAAGAGGTCCCACGATGTCGAGGTGCACTACCTGGAAGCGTTCTTTGGGCACAGGGAAGGTTTCTAAGGGAGCCCGTGTGGGTCGATGTATCTTAGAGGACTGGTAGGCCAGGCACTGGGCAGCCTGTATACGTGGGTGACCGAGTCCACTGATGTGGTCAGTGACATGCAGCGGTGAGACGCCTGAAGTGACGGAGGTTGTGGCATTTACCAACCCCCCTTAACGTCGCTTCCTCATGTAGTTGCAGGGAGCCTCACAGTTTCTAGCGTTAGCACCAAAATGTTGATGGTACTAACAGAAGGTAGGTACACTGTGCTGGGGGCTGGCGGCAGCGTCTAAGGCAGGACGGGGATGTCGGGGTTGGTAGGAC